TCCATTTAGAGCATCCCCCCCCACAAGGGCTAAGTCTAAGGCAAGGGCAAGCAAGGGCTGCCACTATTCACGTGAATAGTGTCAACCTTTGCATTTGTGGTTCCACCTATGAGGGCTAAGTCTAGGGAAAGTCTAAGGCAATTACTATTCACTTAAATTTATTATTTATTTTTTATTCTTAAACCATTGATTTTGATAAGCTTTTCGGATAAGATTTTCAATTCCCAAGTGTTAATATTTATCGTAAAATCCTCACCTAAAAATCAAGATAACATTTTCGGATAAAATTTTGAAATTGAATTTGGTGTGGAAAGTGAATAATATTGGTAGGTATGTATAGAAAAAATTTCCAGAATTTTTTGATATTTTTTTCAATTTTTTTTAGCCAAAAGTTGGACAACCGTTGGATTGGTAAAAAAAAATTGAAAATCTGCAGCCTGAGGTTTGGTGCCCAGGCTGGTGGGACCCACCATTTGCCTGGGCTCATTGCTGCGCGCTGGAGCTGGAAATGGGCTGCCAGGGGGGCCTTTTGCCCAGGTTTGGTGCAGCGGTGGACATGCTCTTACAATCAAAACATAGCACTCATTTCAGTAAAAGACGGCTTACTTACCTTTGGCGTATATGACACATATAGCGTTCAGTAGACATGTGGGAGTACAGTTCATTATGGGTGGTGCTAGAGGCACCAACTTTGGACACCAACTCTCTAATAGAGGTGGAGCCCACCAATACACCGGGACCCACGCTCTATTAGAGAGTTGGTGCCCAAAGTTGGTGCCTCTAGCATATTCCGTTCATTATTCCCGTAGAATGGGGTTCGGCAAAACTCACACATAGGATGTCCCATGAAGCCACCTCTTTCACTCTCAGTTCCATCCACTTCAGAGTCACCCGAGTTTATATGCTGATTCAATTGTGCTCTAGTATACAATTTTTGTTCACAAATAAACGCATGTGTAGTGCATAAGAAGCCAATGGATTACACACAAAACAAGGATAATGAAGAAGACCGAAAGGATACAATAGAACAAAAGCTCTGCTTAAAGTGTAAATATACGATAAATCTCAAGTCTCGTAGCAATCATGTCTATGGATTCTACCTTCCTCCCTTCCAAACATAAAGAGCACATGAACAACCTATGTTCGTGAAATAAATGGCCCTTCAGCTGTTCAACGTTTCGAATCTTCCCCCGACGCTTCGGGCCGTCATTTGATTGCTCCTCCGTCTGGTCACATTCGCTGCATGAAAGCTTGCACATTGCCTTGATCATCTTGTAGTGGTCCACGTCATCAAAAAAACGCTTGTGTGTCCTCATGGTACCAATATGATCCCACACGACCCTCCCTTACTTCAGATTAGGCCCAGCTTCTTTTAAAAAAATAATAATAAAAACTCTCATCACTGTTGATCTCAATCCCAGAGTGCAAGTCAACAGATTTTTTAGAAAGGTCTTTTCTCAAAAAGAACCCACATGAATTTCTGACGTTGAAAAGTCAAAATTCTCGACTATGGCAAAGGAAGTGATGGAGAGTTAATAAAACCTGTTAACCAGAAAACGCTCTCTGTTTGAAAAGACAGGAAAAGAAGACTATGTTCCCTTTTAGATGCAAAATGGCTCTGCATCGTAATAGGTTACATTTTCAGGAGATAAACAGGGAGCAGGAGAGTTGTTCGCCAGAACAAGCAAATGAACCATCATGATAGGTTATCTTTGCAAGAATCAATTAGGGAACAAGAGAGTTGGTTTTTTCAAAAAAAAAAAAGCAAATAGACCATCACAGAAACTAACTGTTGATGGTTCTTTTTTGCCAAGTTAATAACTTCCCCCTTCTCTGCATTAGAAAGGGAAATCTTTTTCAAAAAGATCTGCCACTAGATATTAAAGATCAGATTCTCTATAAATATGAGAGGAGGTGAACAGGATTAAAGACAACCAAAAAAATTCAATCAAAATAAAAACTCTCAAAGTCACACTGGCAAATTCAAACAAGATCAATTGATCTCAGAAAGTCTTCAGACTTCGAAGCAATCAAATCCCTTTGATTCACAAAAGACAGATCAGCCAGAACTTAGGTTTCTGGTTTCAGTTCAATTCAGAAAAACAATTTAGAAAGAAAATGAAATTTCTCTCATTACAAATTTGATTCAGCACAAGCCAAATCAAGCAGAATTCAGGTTTTTCATAACATGAAGACCTCAACAAATTTACAGAAATGTCTTGAGCTCTCAAAATCGCCAGAATAGCCCTTGGATGATTCATAATCAAGTAGAACATGTGCTATAGTGCAACTCCAGCTCAATAATCATTAATCCAACCACTCACAGCCCCGTCCAAACTGAAGAAATCTCAATTTTTTCCATCTTGCAAGCCTTCCCATGGCTAGAATGGATTAAGAGCTTTGCCAATCCCAACATTGGTATCGATTTCCAGCTGAACCTCATTAGTTGAAGGTGCTAACGTGTGAATCCAACATAGTTGTAACCAGTCCAGCCTGAGTTGTAGGCAACGATCCAGGCAGAAATCAAAGCCCAATGTTCTGTTCTCCTTGCAAACATGGCAGTTCACTTTTGTCCTAAAAATTCTGTAACAAGCAGTTTTGCTTGAAAAAACAGTTTTGATTTATTTTCAATATTCATTTTGTCCAAAACTACTAGTATACTGTGATAAATTATGAAGTCCTCACCAGTCTAAGGCAAGAAAAGAACTTACTTGAGAGATATTCATCACCCAAATTCACAATCACTTGTTAAAGTCAGTAACTTAGAGCGCAAGTTATCTTTGTTTCATAAGTCTGTTAGGATTTTTTAACTGTTAACAGTGGCACGCTCGCACACCAAAGAAAGTTGATTTGCTGACCATCAATGGTTTTCAAATCAATGGGAAACTTTACCCTATCATCACAGGATTAAATCAAAACGGGTGAACATAAACTTATTCTACATTACAATCAAAACATAGTATTCCTTCCAGTAAAAGATGGCTTACTTACCTTTGGCATATATGACAAGTATAGTGTTCAATAGACATGTGGGAGTACAGTTCATTATCCCCATAGAATGGGATGGAAAAGCAACTTTACAGTCCCGAATTTACACCTTCCCACTGTGGAAGCTCTTAGCGGAAAGTATCGTAGTGTTCGAACCATATTCCTTCTTTTTTTCAGCTACAGAGCCATATTCTTCTTCTTCTTTTTTCTTCTTTTTTCCCAAATTAAAGAACCATATTCCAGTTTAACCTTAAGACCTTTGCTTTGGTATTTATTCCTCTATAACTTTTGGAAAGCTCCAATGTTCCCTCGTACGTCTTGTATTTCGTCTGTCTCTGTTGAATGATGAGGATGCATATTTTATGTAGATGGCCTTTCTGCGTAGCGATTGTGACCAAAGAAAAAGAAAGCAAGTAGAGAGAGAGAGAGAGAGAGAGAGAGAGATGCAGAGAGGGATATTGTTATTGTGGTTTGGATTAAGTGGAGGTGAATGAACAAAAATGTCACTTAAAAAAAAGCTATGTGCGTGATTAAATTAATAGAAATTGTGACAAAAGAAGATGGTAAAGGGCAAATAAGAACTTCTCAAAAGCTCATGTTGATCAAACAAATAATTGAAGCCCAACATCGCTTGTATAAAAGAATAATTGAAGGGCACAATGTGAAACACAGACCATAGTTTACAGCTATACCTTTTTGTTTGTTTGATATTTTTTTCGAATGAGACTTTAATGTAGGTAGGAATCTTAGAAGATATGAATATAGGAATATAGTTATGAGAAAATGAGGTAGGTATTGTGTGTTTGGTCGGTCATGTCTTCTTCTTCTACAAGTGCGTTAGAGCACTTTCACGCATAGTAAAAGGGGGGCCTAGGCTCCAAAAATAACCCCCACAAAGGAAAAGTTGCCTTGGCAAGAAGTGGGCCCACGAAATTGGGGCAAGCCCGAAGGCAAGACTTGCTTGGGTTGTTGCCTGGGCAAGTTGACGTCAACGGCCAATTTAAATACTAACAAAGAACAAATGTTCATGAGAGTCAAGGAAAGAATTACAAAGAACGCATAAAGTCTGTCTACAGTGGCTAGCGTACCTTCGATTGATGGCTAACCAAAGAGGATGAAACTCAGACCCCGTTTGATAAGCTAGCTTGAACTAGTTAGAATGGGTTTTGAAACATTAGACTGGGCTGGCTTGGATTTGAAGTCCAGTCCCCATTCAATTTTGCACCAAACAATAGATTGGGATTGAGTTTCAAAATTTTTAATTTTTAATTTCTTAACAAGAATCAGATGCAAATTCCTAACTTTTTGCCTCAAATTGAAGAAAAAACCCCAACTTTTGCAAGAATTAAACCAGAAACTCAAACTCATATCAATTATTAGTTTCCCACCTAGGTCAATAAAAACAAAAATATACATCATTCGGCATCTAACCCAAAAGAGCAAGACAACAATCATCAAAATATAAAAAAATGTAATAATAATATAAAAAACAAAGTAGAGAGAAATCTGAAGCTTTTTTTAGTAAGGGGAGATATATATATGGGTATATTAGTAATTTGCCCCCTGAACTTATACCTAACTTTCTATTGACCCCTATCCTTTTTTTTTTATAAGGAAAATTAAGGATAAGAACTTTTTTCGCCAATTTTCCCCATGCCGTCTAAATCTGCAACATTTCATCTAATTTGCCGTTAAATATGAGGGCAAAATGGTTGTTTTATATGTTAAAATAATTAAATACACAAATAAATAATAAGAAATCTAAAATGAAAGAAAAAAAATTTAATAAGAGAGGGGCCCATCCAACCAATCACTCTCTCCCTCACCCCCACCCTCTCCATTTATTTTTTCTCTCGCCCCTCAACTCTCCCTATCTCCACATGGCTTCCAATGGCCCCTCCACCCCACCCCAACCCTCCCCCCGTTTTTTCTTTTTCCCCCCGACCCCCCCCCCCCCATACTCTCCCACGCCA